TGCCCATATCTTGATGGAAAGCCAAAGATATGAAGAATGGTGATATTAATAATTTGTAACATAGCCTACCCCAACTTGCTTGGAACTGAAAGACTATGTTGTTGTTGTTGATAGCTCCACTCATAGAACCATGATTCTAAAACTAGAGTATCCTAAAAAAAGGACAGAGGTTAAAGTATATGCTCATGCAGCTACAGAAGTCAGGCTGAAGTCAATAAAGCTTTGGAAGTGGGTTTTTTGTGATCATCGTGATTGGTCTTCCTTCATTTTCCCCAAATTTTTATTTAATTTATCTCCTTACAGGCCACTCACTACCTAGGTGGCGAAAAAAGAGGGTTACCAACAGAATCTGAATACTGACCTAAAGACACCACTTGACCGTCTGTATGAGTGGGTCCTATTTTGCTAATTCATTTGTGTCTACTTTGTGGCACAACTTATTTGCTCAATCCCTTTCACTGCAAAGCCTCTGTATACTGAAACAACTAGACAGATTGCAGCTACTCCAGCACCTGTGCTTGCCATAAGAGATGGTTGAGATCATTTTGCAAAAAAAATATCCAAATGATTCTATCAACGATACAGTCGATTCTGCTGGAAGTTCGGTACGTACTGTCCATATTTTCATATTCCATCTGTTTATTAGCACCAGCAAATTTGGTTGTGCAGCCACCACATGCACTTACAGACTTTTTGTTGTATTCTATTTGTAGACACCTCCGCCCACAACTGACCTTGATAGACCTTGATCAGAGACCATTAGAACACTTTCAAATAAGGAACTCTTATTTTGTACAAAATGCTTTACATCCAAACAACCTGCCTTTTTGCCATATTTTACGCTCTGGATGCCAACAATTCCACACAGAAAAGATGAACACACTCGCACAAAACTATTCCATGACAAAACTGATATTGAAAAGGGAAACCTCCGCCTTCTCTTTCCTTAGACTTATTTACAACTATTTAGAGATTTCAAACATCATTGTTCATAAAAACACTCTGGATTGCACATTGAGCCTGGCTATAGCCTCACAAAAATCAATGCAGTATACCAAAAATACATAAATGAATTTTGTAAACACGCTTCCATATATCTGCCACTAATTTGACCTCACTTAGGGCTACCTTTTTTTGTCTTACCTTGAACCTTTTTAGTTATTCTTGTTATCTGATTTTACCCCTTTTCACCTCATCTATCATGTAACCTTTGTTTTATTTTGTCATGAAAAATTGTTTCCCTTGCTTCAGCCTCTGTTATGTAGGTCCAATTTACACAGATCGGTAGGCCTGATTATTACCACTCAGAAACATAGAAATTTTCATGTATATAGTATTGTTTCGATAAAACCACATATGCTATTGCCACCAACAGCTAGCCTCTGCTTAGAAATACAGTACTTTACGAAGTAAATATTGTTTTACTTACTACCCATGATAATGACTGTTCTAGCACTATGTGTAAGATAGATAGTTAATGATTCGATCTATGAATCACAAAAAACTAAGTACCTTCTATTTGGCAAGCACAAATTGTTAACGAGAACCACTGATATACAGACAAGGAATCTATTTGGCAAGCTGTTTGATCGATGTTTATTTTCTAGGCTTCATTATTTGTAGGTATTTGTTGGTGGTCTTGACCCGAGTGCAACTGATGACCTGAGGTAAACCTTCAGGTCCATACGGACAGCCTCTCTATGTCAAAATACATGTACGAAAGTGTTGTTGATTTCTCCAATCTTCTAACAGGTACGAAGAGTATCCTCTTCTGTGTATTGTGCAGATCAATTTATAGACCATTCAATGCTCATTACTGCTGCTGCCTTGAGTATCCAGTTCCATGTTGAAACCTTTTTGTGCCAATATTTTAGCGCCAGAATTAGCATCCAATTAGTTATAGTAATTCCACATTACCTGAGGAGTGCATTGTGTAAATTTTAACCATATGACAAATGATTCAAAATTTATAGTGGAGAATGCTTGGATAATTTTCTGAACCACATACTACTATATGGATTTTGTCTCTATTAAAAAACTATTTCTTCATGGAATCAGTTAAGGTGGCCAGGTGCTAAATGGAAGCCAACTGAGAGGTCTATAGATGGAAAATCCACCTCAACATCAACAGATGGAAAATCCAAGTGTATAGATGGTCTACAAACCACACTGCAGTGCGTGTTTACCCAACTCAATCTATCATTGCAGACGTTTGGTTTTCATTTTGTATGATGCTTTGTCACACTATATAATCAACATGTGGACGTCCATGATCCTAGGTAGTTACATGTTCCTATCCACTACTGTGTTATCTCCAAACTGTTACCCTGTGGCATGACGTGTATCTATTACTAAACTTATATAATCCTTATTATCCAGCCTAATCTTAATTCAGCCTTATTCAGCATGTATGTTTCGCAGCGACATCAGACATCAACATGTATGTTTCACAGCGACAATGAAGATGAAGAAAGCACCTCTGCACTACGCTCTATAGGTATGACAGACATGGTTCTTTTCAAGTTCTATCATCCTAAGAATGCACAATTTTCACAAAATGCAAGGTCCACACACCTGATTGCCTGAAAAACATATGCATATATGTATACCGTTGCTATTCAACAGACTTCATGCCAATACTCAACAAATCTAGCCTCTACTGCTTTACAGGTTACCTATCCGGATGCAGCCACCACACAAAATGCATGTGCCGCTATTAGGAATCTAGTAAAGTTCCACACATTCGAATTGGGCCTCCTTATCTTACATTTCACGAACCAAGTACGACTAACAAAATAAATCCACCAATAAATTCATCCACCACGGACGCTTCATTCTCCATGGACAGCGACCTTTCGGACCGTGAACCAAGATACTAACAAGATCATCAGCACGGTTTCAGCTAAAATGTATGATTACTCCACCTAACGCTATGTGTTTAGAGTATGATAGTTATGTCAGAGCCACCATTGCTGCTTATCGTGCAACCTAATGTACAGAGCTAGCATATGTTGTGCACTATTATGGTACTTATAAAACACCGCCCTATGCTACTGGCTTGGAACATTGCCGCAGTTATGAAATCCCTCTGTGAGTCTATGTAATATACAGACGTACCATCCTCATATTACAATGCCATATATTTATCGTATCCATGCTCCGATCTTCAAAAAAATATATAGACACGTTCAGATCTATGATTGCATTTCCAACTGACTGTCGGCGCCCGCGAGGGCGCGCGTGATGGACTAGTCCCAATATATTGGAGTTGATCCAATTTCATGCTCCAATGTCTATCTCTCATTAGTCCTTAGCTTTTATTTTTTAAAGGATTTTTGAAGCCATTATTGGCTTAATTTTAATTCTTGTGGTTTGACTATCATTTTGCTGTAATTTCGTCTTGGGGGTACTTAACTAGTCTAAGGACATTTGTGAACATCTACCTAGGGAGAACCCCCTACCATATCCAAGAGCACCACGAATTTCAAGTTCCCACAAATTTTCCTTTTCTTGAGGTGTGGTCAATTCATAGAAATGAAAGATGATAGACTAATCTTTTTGAAAAGATATTTTGGGCTCCGATTTAACAGGGGGATTTAGTTTCAATTTTGGCTTCTTTCAAGTACATCTCTAGGGTTCTTCCAATATCTATGAAATTCTTGGTCATGAAGTCATGTTTTTTTAAAGATCCTTAATAGACTTACCATGTTCTTGGAAGCCATGGTTAAAATATGTGAATTTTAGACTTACCATGTTCTTTCCAATATCATTCTGAAGCATCACATATGCATGACTTCATTGAATGATCAACTATGATTCCATCAGACCACCAACCATTATCTGCAAAGTAGTGTTCTTCCTTGTATTTTCAAGATGCAAACTGGTCATATAAAAACAATATAAAAAAATACATTGCCCATAAAAATATTTGGTCCTCATAAATTACAACACATTAGGAAATAAACATCTTACAAAAGTAATCTTGCAATAATTTCACAGATTCACTCACCTACATCCACATTTCATGAAACTGGTATTCATTGACTTTGGAGAGTTATAAATTCCAGGGGAGTCTTCTCCTCGTTATGGTCTATAGAATATACTCCCCCCGTTTCAAATTATAAGACGTTTTGGCATTTCTAAATACATCGCTTTTGTTATGCATCAAGACATGGTGTATATCTAAGTGCATAGCAAATAAAGCTATGTGTTTAGAAAAAATCAAAACATCTTATAAATATCTTCTAAAATTCTAACATATGCGATAGCACGGGTATATATATATATACGGGTTGATGGATATATATATATATATATATATATATATATATATATATATATATATATATATATATAGGGAGAGTGTATTTAGTAGGCAGCTACAAAATAAGTTATTCTATAGCCACCTCCATTTACGATAATTTTATATACTAATTTACAATAATATCAATACATATTTATGATAGTTGGGTTACTATAACACATGAAGATATTTACCATAACGTTATATATATATATACACACACACACTACTCTGTAGCTGGCTACAAAATAAATTATTATGTAGCCACTTTGAGTTACGATAATTACTATGTTAATTTACGAGATTATAGTAACTCCTTACTAAGTGGTTTACTATAACGTTATGGTAAATATCCCCGTATGTTATAGTAACCCATCTATCGTAAATATATATTGACATTATCGTAAATTAATATATAAAATTATCGTAAATAGAGATGGCTACAGAATAACTTATTTTGTAGCTGACTACTGAATATACTCTCATATATATATATATATATATATATATATATATATATATATATATATATATATATATATATATATATATATAGAGAGAGAGAGAGAGAGAGAGAGAGAGAGAGAGAGAGAGAGTACAAGTATTATTTGCCAGCAGAAGTAGAGAACAACTGCCCTTACTTCTCTTGTGGCTTTAATAACAGTAGGTAACACGCATACACAAAAAACAACCACCATCATGCATAGAGTTCAGAAGCGAACCTAGGCTGGACGACGACCTCGAGCGGGAACTTGCGCGTGGTGGATAGCCCGAACAGTTCGTCCATGCTCAGATCCTCCTTCGCCATACCCTCCGGCAGCCTCCAAGTAAACCCGTGGAGTAAGTTAGCCAAGCTCAGCTGTATCTCCTTGAGCCCAAGGTTGTAACCGGGGCACATCCGCCGGCCGGACCCGAACGGCAGCAGCTCGAAATCCTGCCCTTTCACGTCGATCTTGCTCCCGACGAACCTCTCCGGCCTGAACTCCTCCGGCGCGTCCCACAGAGCCGGGTCCCTGCCGATAGTCCACACGTTCACAAGGACGTGTGTGCCCTTGGGAATGTCGTAGCCGCCGACGGACGCGTCCTCCCGGGCAACGTGCGGGGGCAGGAGCGGCGCGATGGGGTGCACGCGCATGGTCTCCTTGACAACAGCTTGGAGGTAGGGGAGATGAGCTACGTCCTTCTCGGTCACCCAGCGGCCGCGGCCGACGACTCGGTCCAGCTCCTCGGCGGCCATGGCGAAGACAGACGGTTTCCTCAGGAGCTCCGACATGGCCCACTCCACGGTGGCTGACACGGGCTCCGTGCCGCCGACGATGAGGTCCTGCGTGAACGCCTTCACGCCCACGCGGCCGATCTGGACCTCGAAGGTGGGGTCATCTGCGAGCTGCATCAGCACGTCCACCATGTCCCGCGCCACAAAGCTCTCGCCGTCGCGCTCGCGCCGCCGCCGCTGGCTCTGGCTGTGCGCGTCGAGGACGTGCTCTAAGAACGCGTCGAACCTCTCCGCGATCCTCTTCATCCTCCGCACGTACCCTTGCAGGTCGAGCCAGTCCAGCCATGGGATCCAGTCGCCGATGTTGAGCACGCCGTTGAGCAGCATCAGCTCATCCGTCATCCACATGAACTCGGGCAGGGACGACACCGGCCCCTCCGCCGCCGCGTTCTCCCCGCCGTCGCCGGCGTCGAAGAGGCGCTTGCCCAGCACCATCCGCGTGATCACGTTCATGCTGAGCGTGGACAGGTGGTCCTTGCCGAGGCGCACGGGCACGGCGCGGCCCGAACCCGCCGCCGCGAAGAGGCCGCGCACGAGCGAGCGCACCTCCTCGACGCGGATGTGCTCGAACGACGCGAGGCGGGCGGGGCTGAAAAGCTGGGTGGCGCAGATGCGGCGCGCGTGGCGCCAGTACGCGCCGTAGGGCGACCACGTGATGTCGGCGTAGTCGTAGGTGGTGTGCTTGCCGGCGGCCGTCCTGGGGCGGTCCAGGAAGAGCAGGTCATGGGTCTTGAGAAACAGCTTGGCCGTCTCGGCCGACGAAGCGACGACGACGGAGTAGGAGCCGAAGCGGAGGTGCATGAGCTCGCCGTGCTTCTTGGAGAGCTCGTGGATGGAGCGGTGCGGGAGCGCGCCGATCAGGTTGAAGTTGCCGATGACAGGCCATGGTCTCGGACCTGGCGGGAGGCGATAAACACGGCGGGACGACTTGCCTTTCAGTCTGCGGCGGAGGATCACGATAGCGAGCACCATGGCAAAGCTGGTGAGTAACAGTGGTGATAGCTCCATTCGGATTGGAAAGGGAGGAGGTGGTGGTGTCGATTAATCTGTAGTTGCCTTGGAATGCGTCGGAATGTAAGATCTAGCTAGCTTGGGGGTGAACATGCATTGTGCTACTTATAAGCATTATAGCATTGATACTTCATTACTTCTTTGTCTGTGCAAAAAATGAAGAGCGGCCTTGTCGTGAGGGTTTCAGCCGTAGGCGTGCCGCGTGATAGGCAAGACAGATATTATTATCAGAGATATAATTAAACTATTAAAGTAACAGTCCTAGTCAGTTGTTTTTTCCATAATTAAACTATTAAAGTAACAGTCCTAGTCAGTTGTTTTTTCCGAACAATCAGTCATTTGTCTGTTGGTTGGTGGGCTGGACTTGGGCTTGTCTGTGTCTCGTAACTCAGACATGGTGTCAGATCTACCTAGACAGCAAATTTAACTTGCATGCATGTAGTAGTTTGAGTTTGTTTTCTTCAACGTCATCCGAAAAGCGACCGAAGGTAGTGTATTGTTATCGGAGAAATAATAATAATAATGAAAAAGATTTGCATCACCTCTTTGCGTCTCGTGCGCTCTTGCGCTCTTCTGATTTTTTTAAAAAGAGAGAGAGAGAGGAGAATTCTTCCTTGTTCGACCATCATGATATATGGCACTGGTGGCAATGAGCTTCACCGCGTCTTAGGGCCTGTTTGTTTCCACGACTAATATGACTAAAAGTTTAAAAGTTTGCTACTAAAATCATTGACTAAACTTTAGTAATCTCTGTTTAGTTTTAGTGATTAAAAGTGACTAAAGATTATTAAAGCAGTTCAACAAAGACTAAACTAGCATTAATAAATGACTAAATTAGAGTGGGGGACCAGCAATAATAAGGGACAATCCTTGTCACTGGGCACTTTAGACCACATTTAACTACTCTCGGGTGACTGATATGACTAAACTACTTTATTCTCTTTTTATTCAGTTTATTTGGCAGTTTAGTAGATAAAGTGACTAAAATTTAGTAGCTAAACTTTAGCAGGAACCAAACAGGCTCTTAGTACTTGTATATCTTAGTGCAGCTAAGGGCCAATTTGGTTCCTCCTTGCTAAAGTTTAGCTACTAAACTTTAGTCACTTTAGCTACTAAACTGCCAAACAAACTTACTAAAAATAGACTAAAGTAGTTTAGTCACATTAGTCACCCAAGAGTAGCTAAAAGTGGGCTAAAGTGCCAGTGGACAAGAGCTACCTCTCATTATTGCTGGTCCCCCACCCTGATTTGGGCATTTATTAGGATAGTTTGGTGTTTGTTCGGACTGTTTTAATGGTCTTTAGTTAATTTTAGTCAATAAAACCATACATAAATGACTAAAGTTTAGTCGTTGGTTTTAGTAGCTAAATTTTAGTCATGGAAACTCAAGGCCTAACTCTAATCGAAGGAAATCAGCAGAAAAAGGATAGAAATCCGACTTGTGTAGCCCTTTTTAAAAAGAAATACTGTTGCTTCTCGATACCTAGAGTTGTTAACCCACAAACATCGAGTACGTGTGTATGATAGCTCTCTTCTGGCCTCTGGGTTAGTCGAGCAGAGACGTCGGCCATTTCATTATGGAACCTGCGTACACGAAGACTTGGGCACGCAGAGTCGTTTCTTAATTTTGGTTCAGAGTACTCACCAGTTTACGGCCCGTTCACTTGGAGGAATTTAGAGGAATCTAAAAAAATTTGGAAGAATTTGTGAGAAAAAAACACTGCTCTAAATAAAAAAAGAAACAGATCAAATCAAATTTAAGGGCACGTAAACGGGGCTATAAATTCGGCAGGACTGAAAAATAAATCAAAATACTGTTCCAGCTGATTGTTGTGAGAGAAAAATACTATTCTGGCTAAAATCACTATTCACATAAACAGTGATTCGTGAGGGGGCTGCCCAGCCAGCCAGCCGAACAGCCCCATAGTCACTTGTTTAGCTAGATCAGAAACGGACAAGGGGGAGCAGGTGTGCTCCAAAAGTATTAAATTGCACGCATGAACCAGTACCTCCAAAAGAATATATATACACTGACCAGAACCATTCGAGGCTACTCTTGGTGAATGTTGATGCACTGATGCAAAAGTGTATTCTGTGATAAAGTGAATAGTAGAAATTGTAGAACTTTTGGCCGTGTTCGGCTGGCTGGCTGATTGCCGGCTGGCCAGCCACCTCACAAAATCACTATTTACGTTCTGACAGAATAGTATTTTCTCTCACAACAATCACCAAACAGTATTTTTCAGTCCTGCCGAATAGGCCCTTTGTTTTACATTGATTTGATGATTCAGCATATACAAGATGAAGTGGTGGTGTGATAAAAGGATGTCTTGTCATGAAAGGATAAGGCAACCATTTCCACTTATGTGCCATAGTACATGCCCCTCTGATGGCCATATTGCCCCGTTCGGCTTAGCCAGAAACCGACTCGTTCGACTTGTTTTTTCAGCTGAAACAGTATTTTTCTCTCACAACAATTCAGCTAGAACAATGTTTTCAACCAGTTTCAGCCAAGTTTTAGCAAGCTGAACGGGACCGTGATGCCATTTAGACTCCTAAACTCAGTACAAATTAATGAGAAAATGGTATGGCATATATATGTTATTGCTCCCCTTTTTAGGAAAGAAAAAAATCTCAACCAAGTTAAAATAACAGTAGGTGTGCTTTATAAATCACTATATCTTTGGTATCCCATTTAAAAACTACCATAGAGAAAAACTGGAGATATAACATATATAATACCAAAACTCTTCCAAAACCATTTCGAAAATATGAGAGAATGTCTAAAAAAAGTACCTCCTCTACAGGAAAATGCACAAAAAAAAACTAAAACAAAGATGGCGGATCATAAGACATGTCACTTGTAGCTTTATAGTGAGGAGCAAAATTAGATCCGACCAGCCTGTCACCTTTTACAAGCAAAAAGTAACAGTCGCGACCTTGGCTTGCAACAAAAAAGTGATGTAGGGATGGATTCAGATTGGATTTGTCTGGAATCAAATCGGAATAGCACTATATTTATTATATTTTAATTTGAATCCGAATGCGAATACAAATATTGTCAGATACAAATACAAAATAGGTATCTCGAATTTGGATTCACATTTGGATATTGAAAATAGTATGTAGATTTGCTTAAAAATCAATATTAATGTAGATAACATGCATATACATTAATAAATAATTCAATGTCAATTATTGAAAAATCAATAGAAGTGTAGATAAATATTTCAATACAATATAAATATTTGTATAAATAAATTTAAATATGTAAAAATCATAAATATACAAAAACTAAAGTACTTTAAAAACTCTGTTCATACATTGAGAATATTGTATCTTTTTTATTTTAGATTTTTTATTATAAAATGTGCTGAGTTTTAATATAATTTCTCCTTCCCTTAAAAAAATCTAATTTTCTAATTGGAGAAGGTAGTTAAGAAAGTTTAGATGGGTTTTTTTTCATGCCTCAAAGGCCGAAGCCATCGCGGCCCACACAACACAACATATTGGGCCGGTATTGAGCCAGACCAGTAGTGAACTCTGTCAGCTAAACCCAATGGGTTTCGCTTTCGAGTTTCGACGCCACGGTTTTAACCAGAAAAAACAAGTAGGAGTACTACACAACCCGGCCAGGCGTCCTATAAGCTGCAAAGCACCCACGAGTGGTCAGTTCGTTGTTGGTCACACCACTCCCCGGATAAAGTTTGTGCGAGACGTGCAAGTTGCATCCCTGCCTCGCGTGCCTCTGCCGCGCACGTCCCGCGGCCGGGGGCCCGTACCAGCACGGGCGTCGGGCGGCATCCGACGAGCGCCAGCGCCAGCGCCATCGCCGGCCGGCCGGCCGCCCCCTTTCCCACCACGAGGATCCCCGACGCGTCAGGCGTCACCCGTCATGAGACAACAAGACCCGGACGGGCAGACCCGTGCGGTGTGACGGCCCGACGGGTGAGCCACCCCAGCCCACGCCCTCTGCGGCAGCACCGTGCCCACCCGACCCGCGGGCAGGCGCAGGCGGGCTGGGCAGGCTGCGGAGCCCTCATCACGTGGCCATGCCGCTGCCGCTTTTCCGCTTCGGGCCCGGCGTCAGAGGGCAGCGGTCGGTCAGGTCAGGTCGCCCCGGCCAATCCTTGCGGCCGGTGCTGCAGCTGCTGCTGGCGCCTGGCGGGTGGTGGTGGTAACAAAAGCCAACTAACCAGCTGCCGTTTGCTCCATTCAAAAAAATGGCGTCAAAACCACATCCATTCAACTGATGGCGCCAAACCACAAGCCATTCAAATTACAATACAACAGCATTTGATAACAGTTTGTCCAGGCTACTAACAGTCCATTAGAAGCTAATCCATTAGCAGTTCACTACACATAACAGTTCACTACAAGCCATTATACAATAGTTCAAATTACACTTCTTGCTCCCAAATCGTCTAGCCTGCAGGTTACACAAAATCAAGACTCAAGAATGCCGTCTTCTTGCCCCCTTTGTCCTCCGAGGCAGTCAGTCAATAGTCCAACGAGCTAGAGAACTTGTAGGATCCATGGCCTGAAGGGTAAAAGGAGTAAAAAAAGGATCCATCAGCACGACGTGTTAACAGATCAAAATACACGACAGAAACAAGATGGTCAATTGCTTGCGCTACTAGAAGAAGATACATGGGAACCACATATAACAAAATGGTCAATTGCCTGGGCCAGCAGAAAAATAAAGACCGTGATGTAAGAGCACTGAAATGATTACATGACTGACACTTTATGTGAATGCAGTTTGGCATCATTTTCTCTCAGTAATAACAGAAAGAATTTGCTTTTGAGATCAAAGCAACATTGACCAACGTAACGTTTACTAACTCAAGCAGCCAAATCAGGCGACAAACCAAAGAACTGAACAACAAGTAGGAGCTGCGCAGGCAAACAAGAAAGGTGTTTGTTCAAGAATGAGTTTGTAGAACTGATCAACTGAACAAGTAGATCTAATACGGAACCTTCACAGATCTCTCACT